CATGATATCTCCCCAGATTCCATGCTCCTTCTTCTTATTTCAATGCGTCCCCCGGCTCCCCCCCCTGGGCCGCGCACATGCCGTTGGCCATGATTTGCGCCCCTACCTCTTGGACGCCTCCCTCTTCGACGCCTCCGAGTGGGTGCCGCGAGTTTACCCAAGGGGCGGATTGGGCTGGCTGGCTGGGCGGGCAGGACATTAACGCGCGAGTTTGAGTAGATCGTGGCGAAGCCCCAGGCGATAGATGAGATGTGCGGACATCCTTGGCGGAAGCGTGATTCTTGATTGGCGACCGCGCGATTCCTGCATTAACCGTGGGGGGCTCCCAGGGTAGAGCGCGAGTAAGTTTGGAGGAAGTCTCAGGCGGGAGCCTGTGTTGTCTTTAGCCAGGGGCCCACCAACACAGATTCGGCCGCAGCACTTGACCCTGAGCAAGGGAGGGAGAGCCAAGGGCGTACAATGCGCACCCGACAGAGGAGGGAACCAAACATGTTCGTCAAAAAGGAGGGTTCAACTATGCGTAATAATAACCATATCCTCGAGAACATCATTTGAACCCCTCCGTCCCATCCTGTCACCGTCATGTTCCCCCCTTCCTCATCCAGATCAGTTCTCCCCATCACAAATCCTCCCTCCGAATCCTCTCTGTTCGTCCTTTCCACTCCAGCGACGTGGGCTATCCTCTGTCTCCCTTGTCCTGGTCTTCCTTCCCCTATCCCTCCTTTTCCTCTTGCCCAGCTGGACAAGCTGCTGGAGGAGGCGAAGGAGAGCATCGCGAAGTCGAAGGAGGCCCCGGCGGTCATCCCGAGGAGGAGGAGGAGGAGGAGGAGGAGGAGGAGGAGGAGGAGGAGGAGGAGGAGGGGGAGGGGGAGGGGGAGGGGGAGGGGGAGGAGTAGAGTAGAAAATACGGGGAGGATGGAGGCAAGGCAGGTGCGCTCGTGCCACATCTGACATCCTTTCCCTCCCTCCCATCCCTTCCCATTGCCCTGATTCATCTCTGTCCGCGGACGCGTGTCATAGCCGACCTGGAATTCCATTACCCCAGCACAGGAAGCTAATAGCAGCAAAGGTGACCTGTGGGGCAGGTGGGGACTGTGGGACTTGTGCGATCTGAGGGACCTGTGGAACCTGTCGGACTTCTGTGGCCTGCGGGACAGGTGGGAACTGTGGACCTGTGGGACCTGCGGGACTTGGGGGACCTGTGCGACTTGGGGGACCTATGTGGCCTGTGGGCCCTGTGAGACTTGCGACGCCTGTGAGACCTGTGGGACCTATGGGACGACCTGCGACACTTATGGGTCCTGTGGGATCTGTTGGACCTGTATGGTCTGCAGGACCTGCGAGACCTGTCAGACTTGCGAGACCTGTTGGATCCAGAAGTGGCCCACGCTGGGGAGAGAGCGCCATTCTGAACGACGGAAGCACAGCACCGATGCGGTAATGAGGCCCACGCTGCAGCGAGAGCACCATTAAAAACACCGGGCACATCGAATTTTTGCACTAAGCATTCGTAAAGACGACATCATGAATTCTTGTGGTCTAAAAACAGTGCTCAGAGAGGGCGGAGCCACGCCCCAGATAATTTCAGACCAGAAATGAAAGTAGTGTTTGGAGTACTTGTGGAGGGCTGGGAGAAGAGGCAGCGGAGGGACGTGGGACGGAGGGCTGGAGGGGCGGAGTGGGAGGAGGGGTGAGAAGGAGGAGAAGGAGGAGGAAGAGGAGGAGGAAGAGGAGGAGGAGGAGGAGAAATATCATATTGGGAGAGGCTGGAGCAAAGGGAGGGGAGGGGGGAAGGGAGAAGGAGGCAGAGGAGGAAAGACGGGAGATAGAGGAACGGAGGCAGAGGAGGAGAGGGGAGGAGGAGGGAGGGGGGGGGGAGAAAAGAGGGGGAGTCTGGATGGACGAGCAGGAGGAGCAGGAGGGAGGCGAGAGGGAGGACGGAGAGACGGACGGAGCAGGAGGCGGAGGCGGAGGGCGAGGGCGATAGGGATAGGCGCAGCGGATGAGGACAGCTGTCCCCGCCGCACGGTGTCCACGTCGTGCGGGTCCCCAACGGCGAGGGGGGGCAACGAAGAGAAGGAGGAGGAGGAGGAGGAGGAGGAAGAGGAGGAGAAGAAGGACGCGCTGCCGCTGGCCATGAGTGGATGGGGGGGCGGGCGGAGAGAAGCCGCGGCCCAGGCGGGCCCAGGTGCGCCAGGCCACCTCCTGCATTGGCGCGAGGAGAGGTGGGGCGCGAGGGCGGGGAGGGCTTGACCGTCGGGCACGTGTTGGTGTCCAGGGGGAGGGCGGCGCCTGAGCTCGGAGGAGGGCCCGTCGAGGCCACGGCGGCTCTTCCCGGCGTGGTTTATCCATTGAGGCCTCCTGGAGGCTTCTCGTCGCCGCAGCATGGGATCCGCCCCGAAAAACGGGTCGGGACGGATCCCGGGAGGGGTCCGATGTCTGAACACATGCGGGCCATGCGGGAGAGCCTTCCGGCCATGGGGTCCGGGGACGGATCCGGTCAGGCCATGCGGGAGAGCCTTCCTGCGTCTCCGTGGGCATCCGGAGCGCGGTGTGGGCGTGTTGGCCGGTTGGGTCCCCAGGTTCGGCGCGAGACAGCCACCGTTCGCCTTGGCCCGAAGCGCGACATCTGATGGCTTAGACCTCTGGCGGCACAGGGAGCCATCGCCTCGACGTTCGAGGAAGCGCAGGCACGGGTTGAGGCGCGGACGCCGCCCAGAGGCCCCCGGGAGGCGCCACAGCGCCCACACTCGCGCGTTCAAGACGTGCACTCCCCTGAGCGAGGCGAATCCACAAGGGGCGCCACCAGGGAGCAGCTCGAGAGGCCCCAAGAGGTTCCAAGGAGCGGCCCGAGACGCTCTACAAGGCGTCCCTCCTCTTGCTCGAGTGCTCGTTGTGCCGCCCCTTCCTTCTCGCTCCTGCTTCTCACGTCCTCCATCCTCGTACGCCCAAGTTCTCTCGTTCCTCCTCATTCCCCTCCGTCTTGCACCCTCTTCACAGGGCATTGACAAGGCATCCAGAGGGAAACTGTCAACACGGGAACCAACATGGGGCTCCTTGTTTGCATCCGACAAAGCGGCAAACGGACAACACGGGAACCAATGTAGTGCGCATTGTTTGCATTGTGATCCTTGCGTTTCTCTTTCGCACGAGTCGTGCCAGCCTGTGCTCCAAGATTTGGGTACGTGGCGCTATCAGCTTGTGTACCAGGCGCGCATGCAGCCCGCACGGGTGCGCAACGGCGAGCACGCGTCAAACGCTTGTCCGTCCTGGCGCCAGACCGTCACGGGCCTCCTGACGGACGTGGACGAGGACATCAAGGCGTGGATGACGCAGAAGGCGGGTGAGATAAAGGGCAGGATACATGTTCGCACGGCTGGTGCCACACAGCCCGCCCCCAGCAGAAGTGCGGGCCATTTAGTCTTCGGACCTCACCATGTTCTGGACCTTGCTTCTGATTACTAGGATCGAGCTGCAACGGGAGGCAGCCTGCGTCGCCACATCCCAGGAGGCAGCCTGCGTCGTCACATCCCAGGCCTTCGTAACTCAGCTCAACGTTCCAATGCCAATCGGGGTATGTAGCTTACCTCAGCTTAGCTCAATCTATTATTCTCGATACCCGATTGCCTGTCGTACACATATTCATCCTCCTCCTTCTCCTCCTCATCCCCCAGTTCCTCATCCTAGACCCTCCTTAGCCACTGCGATTGCCTTGCCCTTATGTCCTTGTCGTCCTGCTGCTCATCCTACTCCTACTCCACCTCCTCGTCTCCTCTTCCTTCTCCTCTTCGCCATCATCATCATCATCATCGTCATCATCATCATCATCATCATCATCATCAGGCCACGGACGGGGGAGGGGCCGAGGCAGCGCCACGGCGCAAGCAGGCGCGCCGTGGCGGACGGAAGACGAGGCGTGGCGACCACGCGGAGAAGAAGTGGACCAGCAAGGACAAGCAATTACTATCATTACTGAAGTCGACTCTGAAGTTGGTGCTTCAAACGGCGCACCGCACGAGGCTGAACAGCTCCCTGGCCACGGACACCTACACTTGCCCGAAGACTCACAAGGTGATCGACGCGGTGAGCAACGAGTTGGAGGGCTACAAGCAGCACCTGGACCAGCTACGTCAGGGCTCAGCGGAGGACAAGAAGAGGATGAAGGAGATCGGCTCCCCCGCGCCCAGCATGGGCCTCGCGGCCCTGGAAGGAGTACTGCAGTGCGACATCGGGGGAGCGCTCCGCACCGAGATCGAGGAGTACCTGCTGAAGACCAACCCGCCCGACGGCAGTATGGAGCCAGACATATGCAAGGAAGATCTGGCCGAGGAGATCAGCTTCATTCGACTCGAGAACTGCTTCGACACGGAGAAAATGAAACTCATCATTGGAGCTCCCGAATGGGGTGGCAGGAAACTTCTCATGAAGGCATTCCGTTCGGAGGGCGTGGTCACTCACCATCACGGAGTAGCGCCAGCGGGCTGGCTCGAGGACGAGGTCGGGCACTGGTTGGAGACGCTCGACCACGAATAAATTTCTTGCGAGGTGGAGTCCTGCCAGGCACGATAACGGCACGAAGATCGTCCCGACCATCGTCCTCATCATCACCTGAGTATGTTAGGCCACCGCCTGACCCGCCGCCTGCCCCAGCTGTAGCCAGACCAGCGCCTGACACACAGCCACCCAGTTTCGTTGTTGAGTACCTCGATGAGGCCGATTTCGCCGCAGAGGAAGAAGCTGCGGAGGTTATGCAGCTGTAATCCCCACTCGATGGCATGCCGCTCCCCTGTGCAGCACCCATAGAGTGTCGCCCCATGCGGGGTCAACCGAGAGTTTCGTCTCTCTGCGACGGGCCTGATTTTAGCTCAAATGATGAATCAAGTCATCTACTCTTAGCCCTAACGTCGAGGAACATCATCATCATCATCATCATCATCATCATCATTAGCAGCATCATCATCACCATCATCATTATCAATATCGTCATCACCATCGTCATTCATTCAGGCGAGGGCATCGTGCTAAAGGGAGCCGTGCGGGGGACCGACAAGGACGAGGTCGTGAAGCACAAGCTTGAGGCGTGGGCCGGCGTGGGCCGACGTGGCCGACGACGAGCTGCAGGCGGACTCCGTGAACGTCAGGGGCGAAGGCGAGGGCTCCGGCAAGCAGCGGAGGAAGAATGACGACCTCGCGAAGATCGTCAAGCAGAGGGTCCAGCAGACGGTCGAGGAGGACAACGTGAAGGAAAAGAAGGGCCGCAAGCACGGACGCCCGCCTGACGCGACGGCGGACCAACGGCTCGAGCTGCCCAACGGCGGACCAACGGCAGTTGCGCGAGCATGACGTGGATAGCCGTGAGCATCTCCGTGGGATCTGCTACGAGGAGACGATGACCTGTCTGCTGGAGCTGGCCGAGGTGGCGCGCTCTCGCTCGGAACGTGCCGTGGCTCCCTCGCGTGGCAGGCAGCTGCGGCTGCCCTGGTTCCGCTCGGAAAAATGGCGGCCGTAGGCCCCGCGAGGCTGACGTCGTGCGTCCCTCGGGGGGCGGGGAATGCCGCAGCCTGGCCCGAGGGCCTGTGCGGAGCGGCGGGCTTCCTGTCGTAACCCACGTTGGCCTCATACATGGGGGTCATACAGTCAACCTGCAGAGTAAGGATGAGCAACTTGCCACGATTACCCTGGCATCCTTGCCCTTCGGCACATCCTCGGCCGCTTTCGCCGGCCGCGCCCCGCCCGCACAGTGTCGACCTGGCTTTCCAAGGCACTTGCATCCTGAGTGCACGTCCTCCGTATACGGGTCGACTGCAGGGGGCGGGTCGCTCGTCGTGGCGTCCTGGGGCTTCCCGCGTCGCCTGCTGCGCCGGAGTCCTCTCGTGCAGTGTCCAGGGTGTGGGTCGTGCGGCAGCCGCTCCTGCCGCAGGTCGGCGTCGAGCGAGGGGGGGGAGTGAGAAGGAGAAGGGCTTCTCAGAAGGCGGTGGGACTTCTCAGAAGTCCTTGCGGCTTCAGAGAAGTTTTTTGTGTCTTCGGCTTAGAAAACTTCTCAGAAGTCCGGGGGACTCCCGAGCCTTCTGAGAAGGCCCGCCCCTTCTCACTTCCCCCCCAGGCTCGCCGCCTAGCAGGTGCGGACTGTTCGGCCAAGTGGGCGAGGCGCTGCCGGCGCCTGTGCCCCCGGAGACGGGCCATCATCGTCGTCGTCGTCATCGTCATCAGCAGCAGCAGCATCATCATCATCAGTAGCATCGTCGTCATCATCGTTGCCGCAATCAACATTGTCACCATCGTCATCAGCAGCATCGTCGTTGTCATCGTCGTCGTCGTCATCATCCTCGCCTTGCCGATCTAATCCTCCTCATCCTCCGCCTCCTCCGCATCCGCATCCTCCGTCCCCCTTCCTTGTAAACAACTCCTCCCTGTCGCACCCCCCCCCCCAGATTTGTCGGTAGGGCGGGCCGGGCGTTTCGATTGAGACTTCCTGATCATTTGTGCTCCTATAGTTCGGAAGTTGGAACAGTTTCACGAATGGAGGGCGGCTCGTTTTCAACATGTGGTCCTCGCTTTGGCGCCGCGCCCGTTCGTTTTCAAAACGTACAGCAGCTTCAAGGATGGAGGGCGGCTCATGCTTAAAATGTGGTTCTCGCCTTCGCGCCGCGCAAATTCGTTTCAACATGTCGGAGTCGCTTCAAGGATGGAGGGTGGCTCATGCTTAAAATGTGGTTCTCGCCTTGGCGTCGCGGACATTCGTCTTAAACATTTGCAGCATTTTCGAGGATTCTTTCCAATTTGTGGCTCTCGCTTTAGCGCTTGGACATTCGTTTAGCAAGTTAGCGAAAGCTTGCGACACTTTCAAAGATGGAGGATTGGATTGACCGTCACCAAGATATTGCTCTCGCACTAGCGCGGCGCAAGCTCTTATTTGACGGCGTGCAGCAGTTTGAAGAATGGGAAGGCGGTTCATTCTCAAACGGTGGCTCTCTCTCTCTCTCTCTCTCTCTCTCTCTTGACATCGCCGACATGTGTTTCGACATTCTGCAGCGGTGTCAAATGTTCGCAGGGTTGGAAGTCCCAGGAATGGTGTTCTGGTACGGTTGAGGGCTGTCAGAACGCAGCAATCATCTTGGTTCGCGGTGCTGAAGTCCTTGGGATGGTGTTCTGGCAGGCTTTCGGGCTGCGAGGGCGCAACAGTCATGCCGATTCGCGCGGCGTTGGAGTCCCGAGGGATGGCCTTCCGGCGCGATTGGGGATTCTGAGGACGGTGGCTTCCCAAAGGGGCGCTTCCCGCAATGAAGCTAAGTTCTTGTAGGGCATTCGGCGAAAGAGGGAGCTTGGAAGGAAGGTTTAGGGCAACATCTCTGATGCGTCTTGGGTTTGCACTGATCCTCCTCTTCTCCGCCTCCTCTTCCTCCTCCGCCCTCCTGTCCGTCCATCTCCTCCTGTCAGTCCGTCCTCCTCCTCCTCCTCCCTTCCTCCCTCCTCCTCCCTCCTCCTCCTCCCCTCCTCCTCCCCCTCATCTCGTCTCTCTCCCTCCATCCCTTGGCTCCTCCTCCTCTCCCCCTCGTCATCATCGTCCTGCTCCTCCCTCCGATCCCCTTGGCTCCTCCTGTTCAACCTCTCCTCCTCCTCCTCCTCCTCCTCCTCCCTCCTCCTCCTCCTACCCCTCCTCCCCTCCCCCTCCTCCCCCCCTCCCCCTCGTAGTCATCATCGTCCTGCTCCTCCTCGTCCTCCGATCCCCTTGGTCCTCCTCCTCCTCCTCCTCCTCCTCCTCCTCCTCCTCCTCCTCCTCCTCCTCATGCTCCTCCGACCCGTTTCTTCCCCTACGCCATCATGCCGCGTCCGCAGGCTGCTGCCGCCCTCGCCCGAGAGGGCCCCCGAGTCGTCCCGCGCCCCTCGCCGCATGGGGGTGGGGGTCGCCTCGACGGCGACGCGAACCAGATCGTCGCTCCTGGATGTCCTCGATTACTCTTCCTTGTCCTCCTCCTCCTCCTCCTCCTCCTCCTCCTCCTCTTTCTCGATGTCTTTGATTTCTCCTCCTCCTCCTCCTCCTTCTCCTTCTCCTCCTCCTCCTCCTTTTTGACGTTGCGCGGACCTAGATCGGATGATCCTCCTCCTCGTCCTCCTGCTCCTCCTCCTCCTCCTCCTCCTACGACCTATTTCTTCGCTTCGCCCTCATCCTCGTCCGCACGCTGCCGCCCTCGAGGGGTCCCAGGAGCCCCAACCCCGCGCAAGGACCGTGCGGAGTCGCCACCAGGGGCCTCTTGCCGATCAATCTTCGATGCGTCGCCGGTTCGGGCTCGACGCTTCCTCCCCTGACCCATTGCCCCCCTGACTCGGGGATGGACAGACCTCTCTTTAGTAAAACGTGGTTTAGTGAAAATGACCTGAGGCCCAAACCTGGCGGGCGCAAGCCTGGAAAATGACGGCCGCGGCGCCCTCTCGAGAACCGAAAACGGACAATTCACTAATCGACGTGTCACTGTTGGGGGTTTTGTCCGCCACCGACTGACGTTCCCCGTCATTCTCGGAACCCCACCAGTGCCCAGGCGAGCTGTCTGGAGAAATAGCCATTCGATGATGAGCAGAAGGTGGAACACATAGGCCGACAATGATGAGCGTAGAGACCTATTGGAGCCTCCTGGAGCCATCCTGGAGCTTTCTTGGGGTCCTTTGGGAAGCTTTCGGCGACACTGAAAAATCGCGCCAAGACTTGTCCTGACAGTTTGCAGCGTCGGGGCGCGCTGCGTCGGCGCGGCGGCAACCCCAGCGCGGGAGTTCAAGACTGAGCTCCGGCCGGACCAGAGGTCTGGAACCGCCCGACATCGAACGATCTGTGCTATCGGGACGCCGCTATCGCTCCAGCCGGAGCGATCCGCGCGGCGGCGTCGGAGACCACCGCGCAGGTCATCAGGATGCGACCCTGTCGCAGCGGGGGTCGGCCAGTCTCCTCGGATCCCCGCTGGCTGCTTTGGTCGGGTGTTGCTAGAAGTGCCCCCGGCCCAAGGTGCCCCCAGCTTCGCGCTCCGTTTTGGAGCCCCCCGGGGCCCTCTGGGCCTCGTGAGGGGTGCCCTGGAGGCCGTCTGGGCCACCCTGAGAATCCTGGGGGCACCTTGGGCCAGGGGTTCTTCGGCAGAGGGAAACAATGAGTGAACACCCCCCCTGCCCCCCAAACTCAGGGTTGGCACGCGCGGGGGGGACTGCGGTCGAGGTGCAACTCATCAGACCCACCGCCAACTCTGAACACTGGGGGGAGGGGGGGAGGCGCTCACGGATGAGTGTGGCATGAGTGCTCGCTAGTTATGTTTTTTTTCCGAGGCCTGTTCCGGCAACGCCCGACGTGGGTGAAGGGAGCCACGTGGAGCCGCCCACCCCCTCGGTGCTGCCGCCAACTGCTGGGGCAATATTATATCCATATCCACTGCGTCTTGAACTTTCTGGGAAGGGGCGCCGCAAGGCCGAGGCGCACTGGATGTGGATAAAAAATAGCCTTTGGGAGGCAGATTCTAATCCATATCCAGTGCGCCTCGTGTTCCTTGGGAAGAGAGTCCGAGACTCCAAGACGCACTGGATGTGGATATAGACACTGCCCGCACCAACCCCTACAGTCGGGGCCCTGAAGAAGGAACCCTTTTCGTTGGGGAGGGGCTCCGCGTTCCTTAAGTGTTTCACAGCTTGCCTCAGGATTTCCTTATGTTTTCGATGGGAAATCGAAGTTTAACTTATGGAAAAAAAAGGGGCCTCGTTCCTTATTTAGGGTTCCTTAGGCCAACGCCCCGACTGTATCTGGGGGGGGGGGCGTGCGTCGTGGCGGGTCGGCCCGTGCCGGCGCGTCGGCCCGTTTCCCCTGAGGGGCCGGCCTTCCACCACCACCCCCATGCGTTGGAGGGGGAGGGGGTCCCCCCCTCCCTCCCCCTCCCCCTCCTCCTCCTCCTCCTCTCCTCCTCCTCCTCTCCTCTCCTCCTCTCCTCCCTCCCCCTCCCCCCCCCCCCCCCTCCCCCTCCTCCCCTCCTCCTCCCCTCCTCCTCCTCCTCCTCCTCCTCCCCCTCCTCCTCCTCCTCCTCCCCCTCCTCCTCCTCCTCCTCCTCCTCCTCCTCCTCCTCCTCCTCCTCCTCCTCCTCCTCCTCCTCGTCCTCTTCCTCCTCGTCCACCTCCTCCCCCCCTGCAACCTATGGTGGTGGTGGTGGAAAACAGGCCCACCATTCCCAGCTGCGCCTGATGCCCGTTGCCAAGGCCCCCGCTGGGCCATCAAGAGGCGGAGTGGGATGAAGGGCCGGCCGTTTGGGGCGAGCGGCCCGCAAGAGCTCAAGCAGTGGCGAAGCGCCTTGGCTCCCCTATAGCCCCACCAAACAATGTTCTAAGAACCTTTTGTGGTTTCCACGAAATGTTCTTAGAACATTTCTGGCTGGGGCGGTCTTGTTTTAACACATCGGGCTGATGTTCTAAGAACACTGTTCTTGTTCTTAGAGCATTTTGGGGTTCTAAGAACGCTTCGTGGTAGGACTATAGGAATGCCGGGACGGTCGGTCCCTGCTCAAGGAACTGTCGGACGTCCCGGGTCTCGCTGGCACTCTCTCGCGCGCCGCTCCCCCATCCCGCAGACTTCCGAGCGTGGCGAAGAAGCACACGCGACCAGCGAAGTTTGCCCCCCTCACGGTTCGCCTCGGCTCGAGAGGTCCCGCTCGGAGATGGCGCCGAGGCTTACAATCGCTCCACGGCGCCGTGGTTTTTGTTCAGCGTCCGAGGCCTCTGAGCCTGCCTGCCTGAGCCTGAGCAGCATTTCGGGCCCAATGTCGGGCGCAGCATTTGCTGCGCCCGGCATTTCTGCTCATCTTCATTGTGCCGTCAAGCCTCGGGCTCGATGCTCCTCAGCACTTGCGGTTGCCCAATGTGCGTGAATCCCGTTCAGCATCGCCGATAGCGCGTAGCCTGTGTCGGCCCTCATTACACGCCTGCGTCGTATTGAAGGGCTGCGGTGGGCAAGTGCACGTTGGCACTGACACGCGTTCTGAGGACCATCGACGGGCGGAGCCAGTCCACGCGGAGGTGCGACTCATCGATGGTGATCGGCGGCTCGTGCGGTGTCCCGCCTGAAGCAGTGCCCCACGCCAAGGGGGGCCCGCGGACCTCCGACCAGAGGCTGGGCAAGGTTGCGGGCAGCCCCAACAAGCTCCGCGACATCGCGAAGAGAAAGGCCCAGGGGGCCAGGGGGCCAGAGGCTTCGCAGAGGCTGCTGAAGGGTTCCTAGTCGAGGAAGCGCACACATGGATTGAGGCGCGTGGATTCAGTGGTGGGTCCTGCTTCCGTGCAAGATCGGCGTGCTCCGTCACCACTTGAGGCAGAACTTGTTTCATGCCCAGGCGAATGCTTTCCCCGATGCGTGGACCTGGCGCCTACGCGCCGGATCCCTGGATTTCGAGTCCATGCTCGCGCGTGCCCGACCTGGTGGGGGTTGGCGCCCAAGGTGGTTGGGCCAACTCCACGCCATCAATCAGCCCCTTGCCTGCAGGATGGAGACGTGGTGGGGAGGAGGAGGTTGGCCCACCCTTCAAGCACGACCCCGTGCGCAATCCCCCAGCAGGGTCTCGGAGCCTCTCTTTTCTTGGGGGGGGTGAGCGGGCCCAGCAGCTGCGCCTCGTCGAAGGCGTGCCAGGGGCGCCGGCCTCGTTCCGAACGGCCCTGCTTGGCCCGACTGGCTACCGCCGGGGAACCCAGACCTCCTGCGCCCGGAACGACGAGAAATCATGGTGCTGCATTGTGTTGCCGAGTGTGCGTTTCCGCATGTCCGTTTCGGGCCCCAGGGCGAGCAGAAGATGGCACAGGGCGCGGCGCAAAGAGCGAGTCTGGAGCTGCGGAGCTCCCCATCGCCGAGAAAAGAGCGGGACGGCTCAGGCTCAGGCAGGCGGGGCTCAGGCAGGCGGGGAAGGGGGGGGTGGGAAGTGGAGGGGGGGACGGAGGGGTGAGGGGGGAGAAGGAGGGGCAGAGAGAGAGATAGAGAGGTAGGATACACATTTTTGGTCGGCGGGTCGAGAGCGAGCCTCTTCCGGTTGAGGTAGGGTACATAATCAAGTGAGAGGGACACGTTAGCCCTGGCAACAGGAGAGGTGGTTGGCTCCCTGCGAGCTTCGCCGCCTCAGAGCCTGGCCTACAGTCAAGACGCTGACATTACGACCACCTTGGGCTCAGGAGGGGCTCTGGCTTCCGGGCCGTTCCTGAGATCCAGGTCCAGCCGTCTGCTCGTGGCCGAGGCTCGCCGTGGCCAGGCAAGCCCCGCCGTTCCTGACTCGGCGCGCCCTGCAGTAGCGCGATGACTACAGCCTTTGGCATCGCTCGGACGTGTGCATTTCTTCTCGGCGAGAACCATCGAGGACCATCCTGGACCATCGAGCAACAAAAACACGCACGAAACCGAAAAATGCACGGGAAATGGACGTCCGAGCGACGGCAAGACCCCTGCTCTGGGCTGCAACTGCGGGGCGGCCCAGCGTGACGGGCGGAGAACAGCAGCTCCCACCTGGGGCTCGGCCCCCTCGTGGAGCGGAAGTCGTCAGAGCATAGGCAATCCGCGCCAGGCGCTCGAATGGTCCACTGCTGTTGCCGCCGACGCTGACACCACAGATCTCCGACGATCTGAAATTTTCAACTGGCGACTTTTATTAGATTTCGGCCCTCGAGGGCCAGTTTCGGGCCTGGGGACTATCGGAAATGGATCTGGACGAAGCAACCACCCCTGGGAAAGCGGTCAGGACTTCTGGCGCCGCAGAGTGGAGCAAACTGATCGGCAGGTGTCAGGACTTGCTCCGTGTGGGTTCCCTCCCCTGTTGCCGATCACACGCCGCTGCACAGCCGTCAGGCTCCAGCTCCGCCAGCTGCGCCGCACATCCTCTCGTCCGGCCCATCCTCATACAGTGCCGTTTTTAATACATGCTCCGCGTGCGGATCATGTATTAAATATGCAGGGATTAGGTGTTGAAAACAACGACGAGTTCATGCATATATGTATTCATAAATTTATAATGGATTAAAAGTCCTATATTCAAAACATCCTATGTATTAAAAACTGCCCTGTAGCCTCTCGCCCTCTCACCTCTGAAACTGGAACTGCCGCTCTTCTCTGGCTCTGGCACCCCGCCAAGTCACCTGTGCACCCTCTCGTCGCCGCTTCTCCCCTCTCGCCGGCCTCTCGGAGGTCGCAGCGGAGATGGAGGCGCTGGAGGCGAAGGCCCTGAGCTTCTTGAGGCGCCCTGCTGCCCGACATCCGCAAAGAGAGATGCTGGACTGAAAAACGCGTGCAATTCAGCGTGGGGGAAGCTGGCAGCCCAGACCTCCGAGGTTGCGACGTGTGCACGACGTGCACATCATGGAGTTTGTCTCGTCGCGAGTCGCTGTTTGGGTTGTTTCGGAAGCGCCCCCCCTGACACCCCAGAGGCTCAAGCTATGCCATGGAACCCAAAGACAAACAAACGCGTCTGCCGATATTTGTTCGCGACGGCTGAAGATCTGCCAGGGAAGGCAGGACGGTCGAACATCTCAGCGGGTCGAGGCGTGAGGCTTTGGGCAGGAGGAGGGGTCCCACCAGCCACGCCCTGCGAAGTTCGGTAACTCAGGCTCTGATTCGTTGCAGGATGTGGTCTAGTCTGCGTTGATGTGCGGAACGAAGGGCGCGGTTTGGTCGTCAGGCGAAAGTCAAGGCGCTGAAAGAATGACCACTTTGAATTCTGGAGGAGCTCTGGTTTTCGGGCCGTTCTTTAGTTCTAGGTCGGGGAACTCATTCGTGACCGAGGCTCGCCGTGGCCAGACAAGTTCCTTCGTTCCTTGTGCTGGGTCTTCATGCTATCAGAATGACTGTAGACATTGCTTGCCGCGACGATGTCCGCCACTTTGGCACGTCCGGTTGTGACGATTATGGTCCGCCGCTGGAGGAGGGGCACGAGAGATGCAGGAGGAAGAAGACGCCCACCGCTTCTGCACGCTAGCCGTGTCGACCACAGTCTAATCGCCGGCCTGTTGGCATGCAGCCGAAGCGGCTCTCTGCATCACAATCGCACCACACTACTCCTGCGAGCGGGGCCAGCGGCAGATCCGATACCGCCACTGCCAAGGAATCGACGCCTTTCTGTGTCTGGGTCGTCCTCCTCATCCTCTGCGTCGCCATAGTCCTGCGCATCCCCCATGGCAGCTGCCGCCTGTTGACGACCTGCCTACACAGTGCACCCGTTTCGGCTAGGGCGCACGCCAGTCGTTTGATCGCGGTCGGTGCCATGAGGTTTGCTTTCGAGTCCCCCGAAAAAGAAGGGGACGCCGCCGATGTTGACGCATTTGCCAGATCTTCCCGAGGACCACGTTTGAGGGAGCACGTTTGGCGATTGGGCCCAGTCGGCAGCCCCGCGCTCGCTGCCGGGGTCGGCTTGGTCAACACAAGTCACCTTCGCATCGTTTTCGTTTTGGTCGGATGGGAAGCCAGTCAGAAGTGCGGGCCTTCGAGAGAGCGTACGCAGGCCATCCGATGCATATGACCGAGTTGTTTCATATTGCCTTATGTCTTCGCAGAGCCCGAGCTTAGTTGCACTCATCGCGCGATGAGTGAAGACCCACCAGCTGTTGCGAGAAGCACAGGCGCAGCACGTCTCATGACGGACCCTAAGCCAGCTCATCTTACGAAGAATACATGCGCGAAGTAACGCTTAAAGTAAGACACGACAGAGAAGAGCACAAACACTAAAACGCAAACGATGGTATCATTTGCATGGGGGAGCCCTTCACCACGTTGCGCTCCTCGAATTTATTTTGTAAGCGCTAAATTCAGGAGCACGGCTGCTGGAACAGGGGCAACATGTTGAACGAGTGCGTATGTCCATGATTTTGTTTGCATCGTTCGTGCAATTGCAAGTGTTATGCTTCTCTTCTTCGTAGCCGGCCCCTGGACCGAGGTACCACCAGACAGAGTCGAAGTTGAGTAGGGACGAGTTGTTCAAAGCAGTAGACGCCGACAAGGCTGGCATAATCTTGGGTGCTTTATGTGCGCATCTGCACATTATTCATGTTGTTATATATGTCGGCCTCTTCGCATCCCTTTCTCTCTCCCTTTCATTCTCTCTATCTCTCTTTGTCTCTTGCCCTCTTTCAATGTCTGAGTCCACCACTCTCTCTCCTCCCTCTCCCTCTCTCTCTTTCTCCCTCTCTTTGCCTTCTCCAGAGTTTGTTTCGTGCTCCCGTCAGGTTTGACCAGTCAAGTGACAAGGGACCGAAGACACTTACCAATGGTATCCAATCACTCCTGCGTAGCTCCTCAGCGTTTGCACGGCTCTTCGCGCTGGCGGGCCGACGTCGAAAAGTGAGCCCCACGGTTTCGAGCGCGATTCCTGGTGGTGGCGCAGCAGCCATGGTGCTCGTTGTGGCTCGATCCGATGTGATTATCATGCTCCGTCGATCCGATGCGGTCCGGCGCTTGCACGGCGTTTCGTTGTGCACCTCGGCGCAGCCTGCCCGATCCGAGTTTGACTCCACGCCGATGCAGCCCCATCCGACGCGCGTCCCGAGCCGACCCAATGTTCCGAGTCGGTGTTGGCTAAGGCGTTGTCATGTCTTGTCGACCTCTCTGCGGGGAATAGGCCTCGGTGTCGATTGCGAGCGCCACCTTCGAGGCATTTTGCGGCTCCCTTTTGGCCAAAGACGCCTCCCCAGTGGCCGTTCCAGCCCCCGCATCTAGTCGTTCAGCGCCTTGCTGGTCGATCATCATGTGCGCTTTCGCCCCCTCGCTCGCTTTCTCCCGCCGCCCCGCCTCCCAAGGAGGATCTACTGAACCCCCCGAGAACCCGCTGGTCCTTAAACTCGCTGGGATCCTCTAGGAACCGCCTGTGACTGTTGGAGCCGCCATACAATCTAGAGCACCCTGGGTACCCCTCATAGTTCCCCTAAAGCCCTCTACTGAATCCCCCGCTCCAGGACGGGAAGATCTCCGAGGCAGAGTTCGTCAAGTTTTTTGTCACGTGCAAGCGGCCTCCGAAGCCGCAGGATCCAAAGGCCAAGGCCGACGCCGACGGCGAGGGGCTCAGCTCGCCTTGGCAACCGACGACAAGCCAAGGGGAGGGTGGTGGACGAGGGGGACAAGGTTCCGCGCCAAGACTTCGCGCACATGGCTCTTCACGATGCGGCCTCGCGTGGAGGGAGGGGCCAGGTAGGCGTGTGTACTCCTCGCCCTCCCCAGAAGCTGCACGCACCTCTTGCTCCTTCATTTCCCCCTCCCTCTCCTACTCCCTTCCTGTTTCTCCCCTTACATCTCTTCTCCTCCTCCTCCATCCGCTCGCCTCCTCCTCCGCCGCCTCCTCTCCCTTCTGTCCCTCCGTTCTCCCTGCCCTTCCTGCCGCCTCCCTCCCAGCTCCGTCCTCCTCCATCCTCCCTCCTTGCTCTGCCCTTCTCCCTCCCTCGCGCCCCTCATCCCTCTTGGGCTCTCACCTTCATTCTCATCCTCATCCTATCCCATCATTGTGATCCTCCCCCTCCTTCTCCCTGTCCTCCTCGTCCTCGCCCTTGTACTCCTTCCCCTCCCTCTCCCTCTCCCTTCCCTCCTCCCCCCTCTTGGCCACCGTGAGGCCAAGCACGACACGAGCCCCGGCCTTTGCCCACTCTTGGACGCACGGACCCGAGGACCCCCACGGGTAGGAAGCGAGAGCACAGCTGCGCGCGCGTCCGCCGGCCGCAGCCGCAGCGGTTGGTCACCATCTCCAGCCGAGCTCTGGCGTTGCCCCGACCTCGCCTCGGGCGGCTCCCAGGAAGGCCTCTGGAGAGGCACCCGCGCCGCGTCCCCCACAGCGGGATGGCAGCTGACCGTTGGCAGCCCAGGAGACCGGACTCAGGTCTTCCACCTCCTTCTTCTCCTTCTCCTCCTCCTTCTCCCCCTCCCTCTTCCTCATATTCCAGCGTCTTCTTCGCCTCCTCATCGTTCTCGTCATCAGCATCATCGTCAGCATCATCATCGTTATCGTCATCATCACCATCATCATCAACACCATCATCATCACCACCATCACAATGACCACCATCATCATCATCATCATCATCATCATCATCATCATCATCATCATCATCATCATCATCGCCATAACCATTACCATCATCATCACCACACTCATCATCATTATCATCAGCATCATCTGAATTACCATCATCATCTCTTCACCATCATCATCGCCAGCATCATCAGTATCAGCATCGTCATCAGCATCCGCATCATCATCCTCATTATCATAGTCTTATTTATCATGATCATCACCATCGCCGTCATCATCATCATCAAAAACATCCACATCATCATCATCACCATCATCATCATCAGCATCATCAGCTCTGTTGTGGTAGCTTCAGACCAACTGGCACAAGGGCGGCAATGTCGAGCTCGCCTCAATTCGCATTGCGTCCGCGTGACGTTCCACGTCCTCTTACCCTGCTGGGACGCCATTAAGCTCAACAGTTTCGCGAACCTTCTCGTTCAGACGATGCTCTACTCGCTGCTGGACGTCCCTGTTGTTGATAACGGACCCTCTTCATCATCAGGCGAATCCCAAAAAGGTCTCTTCGAAGCGTACCACGCCCCCACCTCACAGATTGATTGCGTGGGCCACATGATGGTGGTGATCCTGATGGTCATGACGGTGATGGCGACCCTGGAGGCGGTGGGCCTCCACGCGATCGTCCGCACAATGCTGTTCCTGGTGCTCCTCGTCCTGCGGACCCTTGGTCTTCTCCACGGTGCGATCGGCGTTCGACGAGCCCCTGCCCGATGCCCCTCGGGCTCATCGTTGTTCTGCTGAGGATTTGCCTCGATCTGCAGGTGATACTATAGGCCGTGATGCCGAGTTTGTTCGTCATATTGGTCTTTCTTGTTCAGCTGCTGATGATATGTGTCTTGCGCGTCCTCTGGTTCCTTGGCGGAATTGGTTATAACCCTTGGGCGGCTGCGCTTGCAGGTGTCAAGGTCAAGATAACACCCCCCCACCCCCACACCCACCAGGACGATGTTCGCATGTTTTCGGAACGCGTGTAACAGCAGTCGACGCGCCCTGACGGCGAGTAAATAGTACAAGTCGCCACGCTCTTGGTCCCATACGTCGTTTTTTTACGACGCCGTTTTCGGTTGCTATAAAACCGCTGCTGCGGTGTATTGCATTCTCGCATTCGTTTGTAAAAATGCGCGGGCGTATGTGCGCGAAGGCGTGATTTGAGCAATGGTCCACGGATTTTCGCGCATACCGATATTTGTTCGCAAGGTCTGTGCGTTATCAACACAGTTTTCGGTTCCTGACATATGAACGTCGGCCCACGTGGGCCTCAAACATTGCATTTCTAGCAACCCATTTTGTGCAATGTGTGCAGCATTATTGATGGATCTATATGCGCAACATGTAGATTACAATGTATGTGGTGCAACGTATGTTGTGGAGCATATGTTGTGCAATCGATGTGGTGCGATTTAGGATGTTCGATCTATGTGTATATATACACATGCATATACATACATGTTCGTGTCTGTAGTGCATTCGATGTTATGAAATATAGTTTGCGCAATCTCTGTGGTGCAGTCTATGTTGTGAGCGATCAAGCAGCACGCCGCAGGCGCGAATCTTTGTCGTGCTGCCCACGTGGTGCAATCGAACGGCGGCGACGGGCGTCGACGAGGCGGCGACGAGGCGGCGACGGGGCGGCGACGGCCAGCACAGAGCCGCCAGACCGAAACACAAGCCCAGGCGACGGGCTGTGACGAGGCGGCGACGGGGCGGCGATGGCCGGCATGGAACCATCAGACTTACACGCAGGTCCTGTTCTGTAGACCAGAAGTAAGACCCCCTAAGTGCAAGCATGGTTTCGGGAAAGACGGTGTTGCCCGCCGCTCGGCGGCTTCGTTTTCTGCACGTCTCCAGGGGCCTCGCCTGGGGCACGAGCGGCCGACTGCGGGCGTCAGGCCGAAGGCCCCAAAGAGAAGCTCCGAACAGATAAAATATGGTGTTGTCGGTGTGGGGGTGGCTTGGGTTGCCTTCATAAGAAGCCTGGGCATCGTGCTGAACGGCACGTTCAATTTGCATCGGGTCGTGACGAAGCTCACGTGGCCGAGCGTGCCCGGGCCCGCGGGCAGGATATGCTTGAGGCGAACCGTGCCACCCGAGCGCCGTCGAGGTTAGCTTGAAGATTTCGACCGACATGTTCAACTCCTCCCTGACGTCGTAGGATGGGCCGTTGATGTCTGGACTGTAATGACGATTGTGCGCCGACAGCTGCTGGCAGATCTGAATACCAGCGAAGCTCAACTGACGCCACCCCCCTCCTTCCCGTTTTGCTCCCTCCTCTCTTGCATTCGTTGCGCGCTTCTAGCACCAGCAACTTTTATTCAGGCGCATTTCTCTTGACCAGAATTTTCTATTGCTGGTTATTTTGCAGTCGAGTCTTTGGGAGAAGACCTCGTACATTGGATCATTCCATCACCATCGTCAATCATCATCACCATGTCCACCGCCATCATCACGCACACAACAACTTCGACAGCATCAGAAATAACAGCCGCTTTACCACTGTTCGATATTATCGCGAAGGCCTTACGGCCAGTGCCGCCGACCCGGGAGCCTCTTGGGAGCCTCTCGGGGCTTCCTGGGGGCCTCTTTGGGGCCTCTCAGGAGCTTCTCGGCTTCTTGCGAACTCCAAGGAGTCTCTCGGGGCCGAGGGCTCCAGATGTCCGCTCGGGCCCCCCATCTGGACACTTGGAGCCGTCTCCGTCTTGGGGGCCTCTTGGGCCGTCTTGGACGCCTCTTGGGCCGCCTTGGGGTCCTCGTAACCCTGAAGGGTCTTTAGTTTTGGACCCCACCCCCCCAAAGCTCTCGACGGTGAAAGAACTTGCCCTCCGTCCTACCTCCTCCTCCTTCTCTTCGCCCTCCTCCTCCTCCTCCTCCTCCTCCTCCTCCTCCTCATAACGTTACTCCTCCTCCTCCTCCTCCTCCTCCTCCTCGGGCCTCCTCCTCCTCAGCCCTCCTCCTCCTCCTCCTCCTGCTCCTCTTCCTGCTCGTCGTCGTCGGTGTCGTCGTTAGCGGTGGCGGCGGGGAAGAAGAATTAGATTCCGTTGTTGTCGGGGACCCAGTCCGTCAATAAGGGCGCCAGGAAAATATTTAGATTTTCACTGTTGCGGGTTTGTTCTTGAGACCCTCGTCGGTTAGATTTGGGCCCCCTTGGAGGCCTCTTGGGGCGATCGTGGGGGGCCTCTTGGGCCGTGCTGGAGCATCGGGAAGCCGAAACATTGAGAACGCCTAAATCTGTCAAATATCAACAAGAAACCAATTACATTTGCCTGTGTTTGCGTTTCTGGGGCCCTGTTAGGAGTGATCTTGGAGGCCTTTGGCGGTATCTAGGAGGTCTTCAGGGCCGTCTGGGGGCTACCTTGGGCGCCTTGGACCGATCATTCGGCGGTTCGGGGCCTTCTCGGATCGTTTTGGGATCTTCTTGGGGCATTCGCCAATTTTGGGCTTTCTGGACCCCCGGGGGTGGATGGCATTCTGACCCGGGACCCCCCTCGACACCCCCCGCGGACCCCCCACCATGATCCCCACCCGCGGGAAAGGATCAAGGCAAGGGCTTTTCTTCGACTTATCGACGGCGTTGCTTATTTTCGTTTTGGCTGGCGAGCCCGAGGGGGAGGGCTCAGGGAATGGAAAGAGACAACTGCGACGGGCGCAGGAGAACTTTGCGGGACAGCGGCGACGGTGACGACGACGACGACGACGAGAACGGAACAAACGGAACAGCGTCTCACACACGCCGGCAGGGATCGGCGGATTTGCTCGCGTGTCACTGAACATGTATATCCAGAGCCCTGAATATCCGCCCCCTTCGTTTTCGATCGCACTCCCCTTTGGAGGATATTTTCCTTGCCTGTCACGTGCAGCTGGCGCAGCCCCTAAAACAGAGAAGGGAGCGAGGAGGGATGAGACAAAGGTCGGAAACTGGAGCATATACATTACCAGTGGTGGGTTGCTTTTCAATGCCAGGATTTGTTTTACGGTCGGGGACGACGTTGGGGTGGTGTGGTGTATACTCGTTTCCTGGTTTTTCCCGGGGAAACGACGGAAAACGTCTACACCAGGACCCCGTATACACCAGGATCCGCTTTCTTGTGCAAGTTCCAGTGCAGGGCCGCAAAACGTATCGGTGGATAGAGCTCGGTTCCCTAAAAGGAGAGATGACCAGGAGGGGGGTGGGAAACAGGAAGACAAGCAGCAGAACCAGGCGGGCGGGTCGGGCGGACGGACCCTAGCGGGCGGGCTGGGCGGGGGGGCCCGGAAGGCTTGGTCGAGCGGGCGGGTCGCTGAAGCGTGGCTCCTGCATGGATCGCGAGGAAGCCTCTGGCGATGGCGCGAGTCCCAAGGAAATCGTGAGGAAGTCCAGAGTTGGAGCGTGACTCCTGAGTGTCGAGGGCGCGGCGTCTGAATAAATGGGGAGGAGGTCCCGCGCGAGATCGCGGTTCCGTACAGTATGAGCCTCCAGGCTGTCCTTTGTAAAGAACAGCGCGCGAGCCCGGGGAGGGGCGCTTCAATTGAAACATAGAATGGGCTCCGCACATGGGGGGATCAACAATAGTTACTCTTCAGAATTGGGCATTTAACAATCATGGTACCGCAATGTAGTTTGTTCTTCTTTGCCTGCGTGCAATTCAATACGTGCACATATGGATATATACTCATGTATACGCACACACACACACACGCACGCACACGCACACGCACACGCACACGCACACACACGCACGCACGCACACACACACACACACACACACACACACACACACACACACACACACACACACACACACACACACACACACACACACACACACACACACACACACGCCCCGAGCACTCGATACCCGCACCCCCCAGATCAGGGGCGGAGCCGATGGAAGGGGCAACGGGGAGAGAGAAGGATAGAGCACGACAGAGATTAGCAGGAGAGGGTGTTAGGAGCAGGGAGGCAAGCGGCAGAACTAGACGGGCGGGTCGGGCGGACGGACCCTAACGGGCGAGTCGAGCGGGCGGGCCCAGACGGCGGGGTCGAGCGGGCGGGTCGTTGAAGCGTCATTCTTGCATGGATCGCGAGGAAGCCTCTGGCGAGTTTTTGAAATCTATGTGAATCGTGGGGAAATCCTGCGAGAGCGTGATTCCTGAGTGTTGCGGGCGCGGCGTCTGAATATACATCGGCGTTACAAAAGTTTCGTCATAAAATAAAAGTCGATCATCTCGCATCAGCAAAGACAAATCCCGCCCCGGTGGGATTTCTAGAACCGTGTGAATTTACGTCGGGATTTCAAAACGTCCCGTTTTAAATCTATACTATTATAGCAAGGGATGAAATCCCACTTTTAGAAATCCCGGATCTTTGATCCGACCGCTCTTGACTCAGTCCGCTAGGATTCTAGGGGGGAAGGGGGGGCCAGCTCGGCGCGGCCAGGGCAGTGGTCAGCCTCTGCCCGCTTGCTCACGCGGAAGGAAGACACGAAACCCATGCCACCTTCAAGCTCTCATGAAACGTGACGAACTTTTGTAACGGCGTAGTATTGAGAGGAAGTCCCACGCGAGTGGACGATTCTTTCACAAATCGTGAGGGCGTCTTCAGCGAGAACGCGATTTTGAATACGTTGTGGAGAAGTACCAGGCGGGAGCCGTTGTTGTTGTTGTTGCTGCTGCTGTTGTTGTAAACCGTGCGCCAACAACCCAAACAACAACAGCAACAACAACACCATCAGCATCAGCATCATCACCAACAGCATCATCAACATGGACATCATCCTCGTGACCGTGGTCTGCCCTCCTTGTCTCTCCTCCTCCTGCTCCACCCCCTCCTCGTCCCCCCTTACAGCCGCCAGGGATCCTGCCCCCGCTCTGCTCTTCCCTCTTCCCTCCATGTCCTCTCCATCTCCCCTCGTCCTCCTCATCCTACCTTCTCGCCCCAAAGCTTCCATCCTTTCACACCTTTCCGACTAGAAGCCACGTATCCTCGCTGCAGCGTCTCTCCTGGTTTGCCTCCCTCCCTCCCTCCCTCCGCGTGTGTCCTCCTCGTCCTCTCTCCTCCCTCTCCTCTCTCCTCTCCTTCCTCGTCCTCTTCTCTGCCCCTCCCTCCGTCCCTCCCTCCCCCATCATTCGTCGTCGTCCTTTTGCCTCCCTCCGCCCTTGCCCCTCCCCCCTTGCCCTCATCTGTATTCCGTCTCACCATGTTATTCGTCCCCTCCCCCCTCAGGCCAGGCGCAGTTCAGGTGGGGATTCGCTTCGCGATTTGACTTGTCTTGTCTTGCCTCCCCGCCCCCCCGGTCGGCCTCCTCGCACTGACCCCCATTTCGCCTTCCCCTCATCTGGGCCTAGTGCGCTGGGCTGCTCAGGCGAGGAGGCACTGGACACCGCGCCCGACGACGAGGGCCTGCAGAAGGCCCTGCCCTCTCTGTCCTCGCCGTCGTCCTTAGCACCCGTTGGCGTCATCGTCGTCGTCCTTGTGGTCGCCCTCGCCTTCGTGCTCTCCGTCCTCGTCGGCGACATCCTCGTCGGCGCCCTCGCCCTCCCCGTCGTCGTCCTCGTCGGCGTTGGCTTCGTCGCTCCCGCCCTCGTCTTCGCCAGCGTCGTCCTCCTCGTCTTCGTCCTCGCTCTCGCCGCTCTTCTTCTGCTGTGCGCAGGCGCGCCGCATGCCCGGGCCAGCGAGTCTGCAATGGGGGGACAAAAAGGGTAAGGCCATGCAGCAGTCCCAGTGAAGCATCCCCTGCCCCTGCGCCTGACCCAGCTCGCCTCGTCATCCTGTTGTATCTCCTCGTCTATATCCTCCTGCACCCGAGCCAGCTGAGGTTGCTCTTCCTGATGTTACTTGTGATGCCGCTGCCGGTTGCGCCACCGCTGCTTTTCCTCCTGCTTGTTGCTCCGGGTGACGCTGCTCCGGGTCCTCTTCATTCAGCTCTGCGTCTCTGTCTGCTCTTACTCTGGCTTTTGACCGTCTTGGTGTTTCTGCCTTTCATTTCGCCCCCGCACCGCCTCGCATCTGCTGCTGTCCCGCGCCCGTGGCCGAGCGGCGAAGCAGGTCTTCAAACACTTCGTCGACGAGGACGGCGAGGGCTTCTTGACAAAGGAGCGCTTCGCGTCCGTCGTTCGGCACCTCATGAAGGCCGGTGCCCCGCAAGAGCGGCTCTGGTGTTCTTCCCGTCGTTCCCGTCACAGCATGAGCACGAACTTGTGCATCTCGTGGGCCACCTCGGGGGTCACGCCGGGGGCCGGATGTCCTGCGTATGCTGCGTATGCTCCGGTGCGGTGGGCCGCCGAGGCGTGCGATGGGCGCCCGCCAGGGATTTCCGGGTCAAGCTGAGGTGGAGGAGGAGGAGGAGGAGGAGGAGGAGGAGGAGGAGGAATAGGAGGAGGAGGAGGAGGAGGAGGAGGAGGACTACATCACGCAAAGATGCATGGGGCACGCGTCTGAAAAGGCTTCTCGGTCGAGCGATGGAAGGAGTTGAGAAATCTCCGCTCGGCGGGAGGCGGCGGAAGCAGAACGAGGGCAGCTCTGCCGGCAGGAGCAGAAGGCGGCCACGCAGGAGGTGCAACTTATTTTGTCGGGGGAGCGCAAGACCCGGGTTTGCCAGGACTCGGGTTCGCCATCGTTTTTTGACGACCGCGCCTCGGATTTTGACGAGGAGGAGTTTCGTGGGATGTCTGCAGCGGGAGGCCTCGTCAAAATGCAGGCTCGGCCTCGTCATTTGTTTGACGACCTCGTCGGGGATTTCCGAGTCCCCTGTACCCAGGTCTTACGTCCCCCTGATTCTGGAACCGGGGTTTCTGCGACACGCTTGGCAACGCCTAGCAAAGTCGACACAAACGATGCGAGCCCCAGCTAAGCGACAGCTCACATCAGATTCAAGCGAAAGTTCGGCCAGGCATCAGCAGTTCGACGTTGATCGGCCACATCATCAAACAAGGCAGTTGTAAGTGCAGCGATGCTGCGTAATTCGTGACAGTGCGATAAAATACGTTAGTTTTCGTGGAGTGACATAAGTCAATATGAGGTGGACAGAGTTACGCCATAGCAGAGGAAGTAATTGTGTAAGCGACCGCTGAATATAAGTTCAAGCCAACTCCAAGCTAAGAAAATACTGGTTGAGCCCCCTGCTGTCAAATTAAGCCAGCGCCCGCGTAGCTCATCGAAGCAATATGGAGCAGATGAAAGTGGGAAGTCGCGCCCACCCTAAACATCTTTCACGGGTTCGAACTAGTCTGATATTGTTAATGTCCGTAGGCAGTGGTTTGTGTGGGTGGGCCTGGGCCTTAGCCGTGCGTAGTGTATTTGTGGCCTTGCTCAGGCCATGCGTAGTGTGTACATGGCCGTGCCCAGTCTGCACCACGACGCTGACCAGGCCACGTCCAGGCAGTGCATCGGCCGAGCCGAGGCCTTATGCAGGCCGTGCGCAAGCAGCGCGCACGCTTGGCCTGATAGATCATGTTGAGCAGATGATCAGGCCTAGCGGCTGATTATTCCGGAAGCCAGGCAGTTCTTTAGCCTTCCGCAGGGGCGCCAGCCAAGCTTTTTGTCAATGTATCCGTCCGTTGGCCCGGTAAGGAGGAATGGGAGAGGGAATCTTTAGTTCGCAAAGTGACTTGGAGTGTGCCCAATGAAATTGGCCCAGTTGTTTCAAGTCCAGGAGAGCATCTCCTGTCGCATTCTCCATAATACGCGCGCGCGTGTTTCACTAGTGTTCGTCCCACCCATCCGTGTCATTATCCTATGATTTCCCCTCTTCGCGTGTCCCCTATGGAGAGGTGTTTCGAATCGTTCGGCGCATGTCTGATCACATTCAAAGAGGAGCTTCAAGCTGTAAGGGTGCAACACCTACTTACGTGTGTCATCAGATGCGTTGGCTCGCAGGAGGACGATGAGGAAGAGAAGAAAATACATGGCGAGCGAGGGGGAGGAGTTTACCAGGGGATGCTGTTCCATGTGCGTCGTCCGAACAGCAGCTCCATATCCCTTCGGCTCCGACAGCGTGGTGGCCAGATCATGCGACGAGTGGGCTGGCTGCATGTAAACTCGCAGGGTGCCGATGGGTATCAAAAGCAGCGGGGGTGATCGAGACAGGAGCTGGAGGAGGAGTCAAAGCCAGCGTGCTCCCATCAAATATCGGCCTCCTCAACACGTCTGCGCATGCGTCTCGTACTTCAACACGAACCGCACAGAAGGGGCTCAGCTGTCCGCCACTGTCCCAGAAGGGCCCTGGAGGGTCCCCGACGGGCTCACGAGGGGAAGGGAGCCCCTCTTGGAGACCGGCCGAGGGCAGCTTCTGGGGTCGTTCCCTGAGATCCGGGCGTTGTACTTTTTTTCACACTGGCCGTTCTCGCCCAATTTCTGGTTCCAGGACCATCACAGATCGATCCGGCTCGCGTAATGTCGCTGCAAGATGGGATCTGGGGCTCCAGTCGTGATTTTTGAGATGAGGTTGTTGCTGGCAACGCCAGATCGCAGGGTTTGGGCGCGGCCTTATGCCATCTCGGGACGTCCTCTCGGGCGGGCCCAGGACTTGGATCGACCGCTTCAGAATTGCCTAGAACGCTCCGAGGGCGCTCAGGAGCGCTCCGGAGCGACAGCGGTGCCCGATACATCCTCCAGAATTGCCCGATCTCAGGATCTCAGAGATCTCCGAGTTGTCCGGGTCCGACTCTGTCCCCACCTCGTGCGTAAAGCAATTGGTGTTTGGTGAGCCCCTCGGTCTCCGCATTTCAATGTTGATCGGGCGACCAGCGAAGTTCGAAGAAACACATCGGCACCGCATCGAACGTTGAAATTGGGTGGGTGGGTGTGCGTGTTCGTACAGAAAAGCACCAGTTGCTTTTCGCACGGGGTTGTTCGGAGGTTGATAGACCTCCTACCCTGACACGTCGATCAAGGAATTGGCCGTTTTCGGTTCGCGGGGGGGCGTCGCGGCCGTCATTTTTGCGGGTCTAGGTCCGTCGGTTTCGGTCTTTGGCCGTCTTCACTGAGGGGAGGGTTACTAAAGGGAGGTCTGTCCACCGCCGAGTTGTAGCCCTCGCCTTGGGACCCGCCTGAACTGCCCGGGGCCTGTCTGTGAGACCTTTTGGAGCCTCCGAGGCTTTGTCCAGGCCCAGCGCGACTTCGTGGGGTCACTAGAAGGTCGCGTCGGGGCCCCAGAAGCTCACGCGAAGGGCATACTCTTCGGGGGTGGACAGAGCCCCCCCCCTGACACGCCGATTCGTGAATTGTTTGCTTTCGGTTCTCGAGAGGGCGCCGCGGCCGTCATTTTCCAGGCTTGCGCTCGCCACGTTTGGGCCCGAGGTCGTTTTCACGAAACCACGTTTTGCTAAAGGGGGCTCTGTCCACCGCCGATACTTTGCATAATATATGGGGCGAGAACCTTGACCTTGGCATCGCTCGGACGTGTGCATTTTTTTTCTCGGCGAGAACCATCGAGGACCATCCTGGACCATCGAGCCAAAAAAACACGCACGAAATCGCAAAAATGCACGGGAAAGGGACGTCCGAGCGACGGCAAGTGACAGCTCAGAGCAGCACGGACAGAGAGCGCTGTGGCTGGAGACTCTTGCCCAGCGTGCCACGCCGCCGGCCCTGGCCCAGCATGCCACGTCCCGTTCCCTGGTCTTCTGCGCCCTGGGACTCCCTGGGGGCTCTCGTCGCCACGGCTCGGCCAGATTCGCCTCGAAGTTGTCGTTCTTGGTGGGAAGTTGATAACGGTTTTGCATGGTGATCGATTCGTTGTGGTTGAGGGGTGCTTCTTATCATCCTGGGTCCGCCTCAGGCGGCCATGCGGCGCCCTTGGAGCGCTTTGGACCTGCCTTGGAGTCCTGCCGCGGGGGCATCTGGGGCGGTTTGTCTGCAGGCCCGCCGCCGCAGACGCGCATAATAGGAGTGAGGGTTTGTTGAATGGTCGGAAGTGTCGGAGATTGAAAGAACCACGTCGACGGGTGTTGTCGCAGATCTTCAGTTTTGTTGTTGGTGCTTCCATGGGGTAGCCTGGACACCTACGGTGAGGATCGGCGATTTCATGTTCTGTTCGCGGTCACCCCCCTCAGTTTTCTTGCTCCTTCTTTCCCGGTCTTTCTCCAACACTGCGTTGGGTAAGGAGAGAATGTCGCTTCTCAACACTTGGTCGTCTTAACGAAGCGCCGCCCCCTGCACAGCCCAGGTGTTCCAAGTGCAGTTGCAACCAAGAACCTCGAGTCCCGTTTTGCAACAAATTCCAGCGGGGCCCATCGCAGGCGCACGTGTTTGCCGCATGGACGGGGCCGCGCTGCTCCGGCCAGTGAGTCAAAACGCCCGCCTCGGACACCGCTCGCGACCACGACTACTACGGAGTCTTTCAAAACCCCATGGTCCCCGAACCCGCCACTCCCTCTCTTCTTCCTCCTGGAGCGAGGGCGGGGTTGGAGCGGATGCGGCATTTGGCCCTTCTGGGGGGTGGGCGAGGTAGAGGGTCGCAGTCGCTCGTCACGTGCTGAACCGCGGGGCTCCAAAGGGAGGGGTGGCAGGGCGCGGCCAGAGGAAGGCCAGCGGCGAACGGTGGGTGGACAGGAGCCCGCGGGAAGGGAGATGATCACAGTTTGCCGCCGCCAAGGGGGCGGGGGGGGGGCGCCATGAGATGCGGCGGGTCGGAGTGCACCAATTGTATTTGCACCGATGCTGGCCTGGATCGGTGCAGGAGTACAGTTGGCGCCCTCCTGGCGGGGCGGTGCTGATGTATGCCTGTCTGGCCGCCCTCGTGGGCACCCTGCGCGACTCCAGCACGTCAGCGGATCCCTTCCCCGCCCCCCCCTGCGGGGGGGTCGTTCGCGGGGCAGGAGCACGACGAGTGAGCAGCAGCAGCAGCTACGGCGGCAGCAAATGGCGGTATTCTCCTGCCCACGCGCGCGCGGCGACCAGGTGGTCACGGTGTCCGTCCTCAGCAAAGAGCTGAAGACGGACAGCGAGGCGGTGCGAAAGTTGGAGAGCAGAGAGGTCGTGGAGGTGCTCGAGGGCATCCGACCTAGCGGCCGAGGATGGAGGAAGAGGAGGTGAGGGGACGAGGAGGGAGGGAAGGAAAGAAGATGAGAGGAGACTATGAGGGATGAGGGGGGAGGATTGACGAGGACCAGGCAGGGGTAAGGAGAGAGAGAGAGAGAGAGAGGAGAGGAGAGGAGAGGAGAGGAGAGGAGAGGAGAGGAGGGGAGGGGAGAGGAGAGGAGAGGAGAGGAGGGGAGAGGACAGGAGAGGAGAGGAGAGGAGAGATGGTGAGGGGGGAGGGGAGGAGACAGGAGAGGAAAGGGGGAGGACGAGATTGGGAGGAGGAGAAGGAGGAGGAGGAGGAGGAGGAGAGAGATGAGACGACGACGACGACGACGACGCCGACGCCGACGCCGACGCCGACGGTGGGCGCCGACAATGAGCGGCGGCGGCGACGACGACGAGGACGAGAGGGCCTCCGACCTCGCTGCCCGGCCGGCAGCCAGGCGCGTGCGTGGAGGGAGGGGGCATCGTTCGTCCAGCGTCTGGCCGAAAGTGCCTCCTCCTCCTCCCTCCTCCTCCTCCTCCTCCTTGTCCTCCTCCTCCTCCTCCCCTCTCCTCCTCGATTTCACAGTCTGCCACAAAAACGCGAGATCTCTGGAGACGAACGACCGGATCGACGAACTTTTGCATGATTTACGTGGGTTGCATTGGGATGCCGTCCTAATCAACGAAACGTGGCGGACGATAGAGAGAGAACTTTGGATCACTTCAGATGGACACATGTTTGCGGGGTCTGGCAACGAGAGCCGTTCCCACGGAGTCGCAATCCTTTTGCACAAGCGTTGGAGCAAACACGTGTTGGAGTTTCAGGCTATCAATGCGAGAATCGCGGCGCTCAGCATCAGGAAAGGGAAGCTTCGACTACAATTGGTATCGGCGTACATCCGCACACTGGATATACAGACCACCACATCCAACAGTTGTACGACACCGCCAGCGCTCTACTCAGAGAAGCACGTTCCCGACGCATGCGCACAATCATGGGTGCCGACTTCAACGCCCAAGTTGGTTCTCCACCACGCTCCCCGGACGTACATTCGAGGGGCGACGCCGCTGTAGCGCAACCCCGATCCGACATTTGTTCTCAGTACGTGGGGCCCCACGGGTTCTGCGACGAAAACTCCCGAGGCCAATGGTTGCGACATTGGGCTACCAACGAGAGGTTTGCAATTGTGAACACGTTTTTCCGCAAACGCCCAGACAAATTGATCACCTACACAACGACAGGCGGCAAACCTCGGCAATACGACTACATACTGGTGGACAGGTGCTTGTTACCTTCATGCCGGAACGCCGAAGCCAGCAACGCAATCGATCTCAATTGCGACCACAAGGCGGTATCTCTGCACATGCGCCTCAAAATGTTGGATCCCAACATAGGCGGCAGACACCAGCAACCGGCCAGACATACCACCAAGCCGGAACAAAGACACACAGACCCCAACGCGTATCGACGTCATTTGGGGTCCAAGTTGCAACCCGAGTTGCTACCAGCTGACCCCGACGACCTCAACAAAACAATCGAAAAGAGCTTGAACGACGCCACGCTGCACACCACATCTCCCCGAGATGCGCAAACCATTACGACGAGCAACACAAACAATCGCGACGACCCAACCAGACCCGACGATATCATCACCAACCTTGTGCAGCAGCGCAAATGCATCCCAAACACAGACACGAGCAACCGACGGACGGTCAGCAAAGCAATACAGAAACACATTCGACAGCAAAAACGCACCAAACGACGACAGCAAATCAGCACCATCCTCGAACAGCACAGAGACCTCAAGCGCATCAGCTCCATCAAGACGAGAAGAAAACGAACGCTCATTACGGAAATGGTTAGTAACGACGGCACCAAACACACGACTCATCATGGCATTGCTGATGTATTCCCGACGTTCTACGAGGAGCTATACAACTCTGCCAGCACCGTCGACGCAGCACCAAGCACGACCGACACCCATCAACACATTACACCCTTCACGGCGCAAGAACTCGACACAGCAATCTCGCAATTCAAGCTGGGGAAGTCACTGGACACCGAAGTGGTCACAGCAGAAATGCTCAGGAAACCATGCCCGGAACTTCACAGTGCCTTGTTGCAGCTATACAACACCGTTCTCAAACCGAACCCCCCCACGCCAGCAAGCTGGAGGAAAACACTGGTCACAGTCATTCCCAAATCGGGCGACTTATTTCTTCCAAAGAATTACCGCCCGATATGTACGATCCCCATTATATATATATGCTATTCAGTCGTCTGCTTTACAATAGATTACAGCCAGTCTTTGAACAATGCCAACCCGACGACCAAGCGGGGTTTAGTCCAGGACGCGGCACGCGAGACCACCTCTTCTTTTTCAACATCCTGCGCGAACGAGCTTTCGAATGGAATCAGACCTTGTGGATTGCGGCCGTAGACTTTAGGAAAGCGTTCGACACGGTAGAACACAGCAGTCTGTGGATAGCACTACGACGACAAGGCGTGCAACCCGAGTACGTCCACCTGCTCCAGCGTCTCTACCACGACCAGAAGGCTTTTTTCCGCACCGACTCCACCAGCAACCTCTTCCAGCTCAGACGAGGCACAAAACAAGGAGACCCTTTGAGCCCACTGCTCTTTAACGCTCTACTACAGCACACCTTGGAACCTCTCATTCCGGATTGGCAGCGACGACGACGAGGAGTACAATTAGCACACACCAACGACTCTGTTCTTACCAACTTCCGCTTTGCCGTCGACATCTTCCTGGTCAGTCAGACACTACCCCATTTGAAGACACTGCTTGGGGACTTAATCAAGGCAGCAACTCCTCACGGCCTTGAAATACACCCGACCAAAACAAAAATCATGACAAACCAGACGGGGACACGAACGCGATCGGCACGAGTTGCAACCATGGCCATCGAAGTACCACCGCCCACCGGAAAGTCGAAATATCTTGGCCAGACCATATCATTTCGAGACGCATCGGCGACCGAGATCCAGCATCGCATACAAGCTGCATGGGCGTGCTTCACAGGGCACAGACAAGAGCTAACGAGCAAGCACTACCCGCTCAAGCACAGACTACGACTGTACCGCGGCACCGTCATACCCACAATGATGTACGGCGCAGAGTCATGGACAATTACAGAACCCCTCAAACAGCAGCTGCGCCGCACGCAACGACGGATGATCAGGGCAATTATCGGGACACCGCGACGACACACGTCAGCAGTTTCACAAACGCATGCTGCCCAAACGATAGACAAATCTGACAACGATGACCTCGATGGCAACTCCTCCGACGACCCCAGCGACCACGACGCTTCCAGCGACCCACCGACTCCATCAGACCCGCCCCAAACAAGTAACGACAGCATCGACCCACCCCACCCGACTCCGACACACCAGCAGGCGGCAGACGATGCCGAACTCTGGTCCGAATACATCCGCCGGTGCACTCGCAGGGCGGAGGAGCTGATGAGCATGCACGACATCCCAGACGTCACCCAAATTCACCGCAAAATGGTTCGGCAGTGGGCAGCACGCGTAGCGACCCACCCGTCGAATAGGTGGACACAGCGAGCTCTGAATTGGAATCCCAACACGGACACAAGGCAACATGGTTATCGACAACATGATGGCCAGCAAAAGCGTTGGGACGACGACATTCGGAAGTTCCTATACAACGTGCGCCGACAGGCAGGCGAAGATCACACACAACGCGACGCCAACGACGCCACCCAACCGCGACGATATTTCCACCGCGACACCAACGATGTGAGGTGGCTCACAGCTGCGACACGGACGACATGGTGGAAGTCATTCAAGGGAGCCTTCATCGCTGCATGATGTTACGAACTGTCACATGCAGCAGTGACCGCCGACCCTGCGACCACAAGCACCGAACACCAACAACCAAGCACGACCAGACCGACTACCGACTCCTTGCGCCAGCATCCACACCAACCCCAGCACAGACGACCAACACAGACTCCACCCAACGACGCGGCACCAACACGCCACGACATCGACTACAAGGATTCCTCCCCCTCCTCCCCTCCCCCTCCGTTTCACATAACTTTTTGTGTCTCGCATGCATGCATTACCATACACAATAGTATTTCAGAGGCCACGGCCTCATTCACCTGGTCTCCAGTAGGCCCGGACTGCTGTCCGCATCGGTGGTCCCCTTTCCTCCTTCTCCTCCTCCTTCTCCTCCTCCTCCCCCTCCTCCTCCTCCTTCTCCTCCTCCTCCTCCTACTCCACCTCCCTGTCCTCGCACCCCCCCCCTCTTCCGCCCCAGCTGCTGCAGGGCGGGAAGAAGAAGGAGGTGTGAGCAGTGGGCTAGTGTTGGGGAACGCCGCGTCCGAGGATGCTGGCTGTTCTAAGGTTTATCGGCGGCATTCGCAGGCTCTCGGGTGGCTTCTGCGGGTGTTCTGGGTCATCTGAATCAGCCTTGGGCAAACAGACGGGCGTGCCTAAAAGTTGCCAGGTCCCATGGAGGACGAGGTGTCCAAGATGAAGCGCGTGAAGGTGATTGCCATGAGGGACGCCGTGCGAGGGTGAGGGGAGTGGGAGTTGATGGGGACGGGAGGGGAGGGGGGGAGAAGGAAAGGGAGAGGGGAGGGAATCGGGGTAGTTGGGGAGAGAAGAGGAGCGGGACTTGGAAAGGGATAGGACAAGGAGAGGGAGGCGAGAGGGAGAAGGGGAGGGAGGAGTAGAGGGGATGGAGGGAAAGAGAGAGGAGAGGAGTGGAAAGCGGAGAGGAGAGAGGAGGGGAAGTGAAACAGGGAAGAGCATGGGGTGGGGGGGTAGGGGCGGAGTTTGCCGCTTGGTTATCCATCGCGGTTGCACGTTCACCCGTGGAGTAGGGAATTTCACAATCCAGAGTTGGGCATCAATTTCTTCTACGGCTGCGAAGCTCGAGTTGCGTTGGTTCAGTTTATTTGGGCTTCTTCGTTTTCGAGAGCTCTCCGTAGATTTTAAGACGGGATTATTCACGCTTCGCGTATCCGCGTCAACCCATTCACACACCTTGCCCATGAGAGGTGACGGGCGAAGGGACGAAGAGACACATGTACTGAGAAAAAAACAAGAGCAGCCACGGTGAACAGAAACATCTCTGGGAGCAAGGGGGTGCTTTTGAGGGCTGCTTCGGGCCATCCCTGGGGCCCGCGGGGGGGGGCGAGGGAAGGAGGAGGAGGAGGAGCAGCAGCAGCAGGAGGAGGAGGATGACGACGAGGAAGATGAGAACAACGAAAAGGAAGACGATGAGGGCAAGGACGAGGACACGGAGGATGAGGATGAGGAGGCGGAGGACAACGAGGACGAGGAGAGAGTCCTCAAATCGCCTCTTGGAGTTGGGGGATCTTGTGGTCCTCTTGGGGCTCTTTCTGAGGGTGATTGGACCCTTTTGGGGCCCTCTTGGGGCTGGGCTCTCTTGGGGGCCTCTTGAGAGCCATGGAGGGCATCTTGAGGCCGCCTTGGAGGCTATTGGTCAAAAAGGGTCGGGGTCTTCGATCCCCCTTGGGGCCATCAACATCGCCTCTTGGGCCGCTCTTGGGCGCTCTTGGGGCCGCCTGGGCGGCATCTTGGGCCCCTCTTGGGCAATCTTGGGGCCATCTTGAGGCCTCAAAAGCGCATCGGAATCAACACGCGGATAAGGCAAACATCATTGATGTTCCTCAGGTGTTCAAAGGTTTGGGCATCTTGAGGGGTCCTGAGGGAGATCCTGGATCACTTGGAACCGTGTTGTGGCCGTCATCGGGCCTTTAGGAGGTATGTCGACAGTTATCTTGAACCATCGTCGGCTATCTTAACCCATCTTGGAGACCATCTTGGAGCATTAGGCTGTTGCAATGGAGGTCCAGGGGGGCATGTCCAACAGTTCGTGCTTGCGCCGACCCCTCCCTGCCCCCTGCCCTCCCCCAGCACTTTCTCTTCGCCTGCCGCTGCAGACAGCAGCCGCGCATGCCTCCACTGGCACGGCACGTGCTCCTCTCCTTGGCCCACCCCAGCGTGTCGGCGAACCACCCTCCGCCGCGCGGCCCGGGCTTCCATCGCTATGCAGGGGAGACCCATGCCAAGAGGCACCCTGCTCGCCTCCAGGGTGCCCTGGGCTTCTTGGGCTCCGATGGCTCTGCGATGGAAAAGCGCGACGTCCCCACACCGGAAACGAATGGCCGTCCTGGGGTCTCAGGGTTGGGTTTCTTGCGGAAGGGTTTCTTGTCGACTAGCCTCCACGGTACTTCTCCTCCCCTGACTCTGGATCCGCCCTACTTTGGGGAAATTCGTAAGTAGGGCTTGGAATTTCCGCCTTATTTTTCAAGCCCCGCTGATGCCAATTTCCGCCCTACTTTTCTGCTGCTGTTTCCGCCCTACTTCTGTGGATTTCCGCCCTACTTTATGCTGGGTGCAGAAATTTCCGCCCTACTTGTTCGGCCTCTCATAGGTGGAGTTCCGACGCAGTTTTAAGTTGGGCAAAAAAGCCAAAGTAGGGCGGATCTGGAGTCAGGGTCGTCCCCGTCCGCTCCGGCAAGCTCTCGTGGCGCCGGTGGGCGCTCAGGGCGCCGTGCGTGCCAGAGGCTCCGCCCCCCTCCCTCGCCGCCGGCCCCCGCCGAGGACGGCGCCGAGGGCTACGTCACCCTGGCGGGCAACGGCGGCACGGTGTTCCTGCGGGACGGCGGGCGGCTCTTCAAGGCCCGAGGAGGAGGAGGGGGAGGAGGAGGAGGAGGAGGAGGAGGAGGAGGAGGAGGAGGAGGGGGAGGTCTCTCTCGCGGTCGAGCGTTGGCTCCGTCTCTCGCGCGCGCGGCGCTGCAGACAGAGCGGCGGGGCGTGGCCGCCCAGGTGGTTTCGCGCCTGGGCGCCTCGGCGCCGTCTTCGCCTCGTGCTCGGGAGTGCCACGGTCTCGAGGCGTCGGATGCCTTCTCTGCTCCTCATCCCTCCCTCCTCCTCCTTCTCCTCCTCCCCCTCCTCCTCCTCCTTCTCCTCCTCATCATCCCGCTCCCCAATCACACCCCCTTCAGATTCAGAGCCACCTAGAAATTCCCCTCCCCCCCCTTCCCAGTGACCCCCCACGTACTCAGTGTCCCCCTCCTCTCGTCCTCCTCCTTAGATCCCCCCCCGGGGCCCTCCGAGGCCCCTTCAAAGTGGGGGCCGGCGGATCATGGGGGGGGTGGGGGTCTGGGGGCGGCGTCCCACGCGTCTCTCCGCCACTCTGTGCGCAGAGCCCTTCGGGGCCCGTGCCAGGCAAGCTTGGAAGGAACCCCTTTCGTTGGGGAGGGGCTCAGTGTTCCTTGATTGTTTCAAAGTTTGCCTCGGGTTTTCCTGAGGTTTTCCATGGGAAATCGAGGTTGAACCTATGTGAGAAAGGGGCCTCGTTCCTTATTTAGGGTTCCTTAGGTCAACGCCTCGACTGCATCGTCGACTCAGCTCGGAAACTGGAGCATATGCATTACCAGTGGCGGGTTGTTTTCCCATCCCGGGATTTTTGTTTAGGGTCGGGGACGACGTCGGGGTGGTGTGGTGTATACCTGCTTCCCCGCTTTCCCGAGGAGCAGCGCAACACGTACACACCAGGATACGCCAGGATCCGTTTTCTTGTGCGAGATTCAGTGTGAGGTCAGACATAGGCGTCGGTGTATAGAGTTCGGTTCCTTATTATCGTCAACTCAGCTTCTCACTGCAGGGTATGTTCGTTCGGGGCTCGTGCCAACGCTCCCAGTCAAGTAACCCACTGCTGATCACTTTTGCTACTGCTGCTCAATGTTGGTCGCGATTGCGCACCGCTTATTTGCCGCTACTCAGTGACATCTCAGTGTTGCTTGCCTGTGCTCAGCGGTGTCCACGGTTGCTCGATGATGCGCAATGCGTTGTTTGCTGGTTGCCACTGGTGCTCAGTGCTGCTCAGTGCTTGCTCAGTGCTTGCCCACTCTGATGTATTCTGATGTGTTCTGCTGGTGATTTCTACTATGCTCTGCTGTTTTCTGATTTGTGCTGCATGCCCACCGCTGGTCAGTGCTACGCAGTGCTGATCAGCGTCGCTCACTGGTGATCACTGCTGCGCAGTGCTGTTCATTATTGATCAACGTTGCGCGTTGTCCACAAATCGCTCACAGCCTGACCAACATTGATCGCCTTTCGCTCGCTGCAGTTCAATGCCTGGGCACTGATGCTCAGTCAGCACTGCTCAATTGGAACCAACAGACTGCTCACTACTGGACAGTGTTGTTTGGCGGCGGCCATTGGTGTTCACTGGTGTTCGCTGGTGCTCTGTGCTGCCCACTGCTGCTGAGAGCGGTATAGTGTATAGTATCTGATCGTTGCCATGCTACTGCGTGATTAGTGATTGTTTTGTGCTGCTCGGTGATGCCCACTGGCGGCTCAGTTCTGATCAGCACTATGGCACACTGCTTGACAATTGCGTGCTAGCTGATTGCATGCCGCAAGTTCATTGCTGCAACCTACTGGTCACTGCTGCCAAACCGTGCTCACGGCTAGTCGCTGCCGCATGCTGTTGTTCGTTGAGGACTGCACACATCCACGGTAACCGAGGAATGGATAAAGAACCTTTTCACTTCTAAATGGTCAGCTTGGGTACCCTTTTTACGATATGCGCTCGACACCGCAGCAGTGAGCTGCAGTGATGATCAGTGGTCAATCAGTGGGCAAGCAGTGGGCGGCAGTCAACCCCAGTGGTCCGCAGTGGGGTATCAGAGAGCAGACAGCCGACAACCAGTGATCAATCCGTGGGCAAGCCACGGGCACCAGTTATCACCAATGACCGGCATGTGGCGCCAGTGTGCGAACAGTGGGTGAGCAGTGCGAAGCAAGTGAGCAACACGCAGAGCCTCACTGCCCGCGCGCTCATCGGCCTCTGCTGCCAACTGGTGGTGGTGCTGCTGCTTGCTGCGGGCTCCTGTCGCCCCCCGGTGCCAAGCCATGGTATTCGCTGCAAACTGGTTCCTCACCGCTGTCCACTGTTGTTCAACGCGGTTCCATGGATCACCTTGCTTATGACACAAGCGCACACCAAACATCCACAACGGCAAGTACAACAGTAAAGACAACAGCCAACACACACACACACACACTCACCACGCACACACAAACGTAGCAGACAATGCACACCAAACAAACAACAACGAACATGCCTCATGGTGTTCCATGGCCCGGCGCCCTGTGTTGCTCACGGGTGCTTTCTGCTGACCCACGCGCGCCCGCCACAGAGTAATGAGCGGTGTTGTCACGCGCGTGCTGACCTTTCATGATCGCTACTTACTGGTGGCATACCAGTGTTCATGCTGCTAAATTCACCAGTAATTCGCGCAAGTGCTCTCTGCGCTCTTTGCTTGTCGCTGATTGCCCACCTCTGCGCAGTGCTGACCAGTTCTGCTCGCTGCCTGCCCACAGCTAATCAGCTACTACTGCTCACTGGTGCCCAATGTCAGGCCTTGATTGATCACAGCTGACCATTGCTTCTCAGCGCTGATCACGTGTCATTCCTGCTGCTCTATGTTGTTATATGGTGTTCGCTGCTTGCCCGCTGCTGATCAGTGTTATGCTGTTCTGATCAGCGTTGCTCACGGCTTATCTGTACTGCACGTTGTCGGCATTGCGTTGTTGTCATTGTTGTTGAATGCTGCGCGTTGTCAGCCCACCGCTTGTCCATGACTTGTCCAGTGCTGCCCACACCGTTTCACTGCTGAGCGCGCGTGGCCACTAGCGGCCACGGCCTGCCCAGCGCTCGCACGATTGCTGGTCACGACTTGCGCAGTGCTGCCCAATGCTGCTCATTGGTGCTCACTTGTGCTTGTGGATGGCCTGGTCTTGCTGACGCAATATGCTGCGCACTAGTTGCTATTGCTGCGTACTCCCTGCAGGGCTTTCTCACTGGGCGCCCACTATTGCCCAGCGCTGCTGCTCAGCGTCGACCTCGGCGTCGGCGGACGACGACGACGACGCCGAAGGTGACGGGGATGACGACGACGGTGACGTCGACGATGACGACCAAAACCACGACGCGGATCATGGAAAAAAGCACGTGAGGAGGAGTAGTAGGTGAAGGAGGAGGAAGAGACGGAGGAGGAGGAGGATGAGGAGGACGAGGAGCGCCGAGGGTCGGGGCTGGAAAAAAGGTGCAGCGGCGGTAGCGGGCGAGCTGGCGGCGTGGTCTGCCTTCAGGCCCAAACTGAAGATAATGCGCCTGCACGCCTGCAGGATGCCGTTGTGGGTGGCGACACCAGCGATGTTGTCGGAGGAGGGGGCAAACACAAACAAAAATATGTATTGATCACCCCCCTCCCCCGCATTTTGTGTGTGTGTGGTTCGCCTTCCCCCCCCTTCCCCGAAGGCGAGGATGAGCCAGCGCTCGTGTAATTTGACCCGAGTTCGTTCGAACTTGTTTCAGATATGTCTGAAATTTGAACCCTCCATCCCTCCAGGCCACCCCACAGCCATCTGGAAGAATAATAAGTTCAAAGTTCGGCCGTGCTCACCAATGGGGGCATACCTCCCTGCGCTGCCCAGTACCCTCAGGGAATCTCCAAGAATCCCATAGAGGCTCTTGAGAGACACTTGAAGGTTCCGAGCCAATGAAAGGCTCTTGAGAATGCAAATGCAACACAAGGTTTTCTCAACCAGTTTTCGGATGACCCACACGCCTGTTGGGTACTTGCGTGGTGTCTGCAGCATGCGGGAAATGCATGTCATGTTTGGGCCCGTGTTGCAAATGGAACAAATGGATTTCGTCAACCAGTTCACGGGTGATCCACCTACCCGTGGGTCATTTGCGTGGCGCTTGCTTCACACTAGAATCGTATTGAATCGGAATGCTTCACCTCATGTTGGATCGCAGAATTCACGTGGAACACATGGTTTTATTCAAACAGTTTTCGGGTGACCCACCCGCTGGTGGATCACCTGCGTGGTGCTTGCTTCACGCGGGAAATGTATTACAGGGGGTTGTATCACCTCCTGTGGAGGCTCGGATGCAAGTGAAACGTTTGGTTTTCTTCACCCAGTTTTCGGGTGATCCATCCGCGTGTCGGTCACTTGCGTGGTGTCTGCTTCATGTGGGAGTTGTATTACATGGAAATGCATCACCTCATTGTGGGTCCAGAATCCAAATGGAACGCATGGTTTTTCTCCACCAGTTTTCGGATGACCCACCCGATTATAGGTCACCTGCATGGTGCCTGTTTTTTTTGTTTGCGGGAAGTAGCTAATGGCTTTCGGCCCATCCCGCCACCGTGTCTGGGCTGTGGGTATGAAGCCTATTGGATGTTTGTTGGGATCTTGTGGTAGGCCTCTCGAGGGCCTCTTGGAGGCAGTTTGGACGTCTCTTCGAGGCCATGTTGGGGCCTCTTGGGGCTTCTTTGGGGGCCTCTTGGGGGCCACGTGGGGGCCTCGTGGGGGCCTCGAGACAGGCTCCGATTTTCTGCTCGTGTTCCATCTTTAGGGCCCCTTTTTGGGCCGTCTTGGAGCCCCGGGGAGCCGAACAGGCGAGAACCCCAAAATCCTTCAACAAGATGTGAAAATCAATGATTTCGGCCTCTTGGGGCTCTCTTCGGAGGCCTTTTGGAGGCCTATTCGCCCGTCTGGGGGCCATCTTGAGCGTCTTGGAGCGGTTATTCGTCGACTCGGGGCCCTCGTGGGCTGTCTTGGGGGCTTCATGGGGCCCTCTTGGTCCGTTTTGGGGCCCTCTTGGGACCGAACATCTGATACGAGAACACTTCCCGAAACCCAGGGGGGTGCTGGCGCAATAAGCGGCCGAGCTCCGTCGCCCTCGGGATGCTGGCATTGGCGTCGGCGTCATCGAGATAAATCCGCGCGGATCTCTGCCAAACTCGGGGTCCCACGGGGGCCGAAAATCTTCCCGTTCCCTCCGCCTTCACTCGTCCGAGTGCCGTCAGCGTCGAGGATGAATTCCCGCGCGCATGATCCCTCTGTGGACGAAAGTCCGACGCTGCGCGCGGGCATGCAGACGTGCGCGGACTGAGCCCAAGTGGGTTTCTCCTCCTCTCCCTCCACGTGAGAATGAGGGGGAGGAACAATGAGGGCAGACGTGGAATCGGCGCATGTGTGCGCACTGGGTGGACTCGCGCTTATGTTTCGTTTGTGTTGTATCCCACGAAGGCATCTATACACCACCTCCGTGTCAGACCAGGGCCATCCTGGGCCGCAGGATGGTGTATAGACCCTCCTGGCCGAGCCGGGAGGGCGTCTACACCATCCTAGGGCCCAGGATGGCCCTGGCCTGGCACGGTGGTGGTGTATAGATGCTTTCTGCGTGTTGTACACAAGCACGTGTGCCTGCCTGCCTGTCGGTACGGTGTATCTTCCTGTCCGTAGCCGTCGTGGCTCAGGGTGCAGCCGCGGCCATGGCGGCAACGCAGCTCCGCCACGCCGCCGCCCGGCGTGCTGCCGCGGGCGCGCCCCGCGCGTTCGCGGCCGCCAGCGCGGCGGGCCTGCAGCCGCTGGAGGAGGCCGTGCGGCTCAGGGTCGCGCCCATACTCCTGGGCCTTGGGCAGGCGGGCGAGAAGCCCGCGCGCGTGGCCGTTGCGGGCCACCAGTCCATCGACTTCGCCGCCTCGCTGCGCGGGGCCAGGTCCACGGGCGCGGCCGTGATCCCCGTGGACCCGCGCGGCTGCCGGGCTGACGAGCTCTGCCGCCGCCTCGCAGACGCACAGGCGAGGCTGGTGGTGCTCGCGGGCGAGACCCCCGACAGCGAGATCAAAGCCTTGCGTGACGCGGCCCGTCAGGTTGGCGCGCACGTGGCATCGGTGCTGCCGCTGCGTGGCAGCGGCCTGCCACTGGAAGGTCCCTCGGCGCCGTGCGCCAGCGAAGCGGCGCCGCTGCTTCTCGCTTCTTCGGCCCCGGGAAGCCACGCAACCCTCACCGCAGAGGTGACACCCGAGGCGGTCGATGCCCGCGTGGCTGCGGCGGTCGAGCTCTGGGGGCTGTCTTCGAGCGACACCGTGCTGTCGCTGGGCCTCCCCGCGGACTCCCCGGTCGGGGTGCTCGACGCGGTGGAGGCGCCTCTGTCCGTGGGCGCTTCTGTGGCGCTGCCAGGAAGGGCCGTCGAGGCAGCCGCGGGCGTGTGGCATTTCTGGGCAGCCATCCGCGACGAGCGCGATGCCACGGTGCTGTTCCTCCCCTCCGACTGGTGCTCGCTGCTCCTCGACGCCCACGAGGGCCTCGCGCCCGGGCTCCGCGCCGAGCTCGCCGCTCGCTGGGCGGCCCAGCCGCTGCGGCACTGCGCCGCCGTGGCCCCCGCAGGGTCCGTGCCGTCCTCGCAGCTGGCCCAGCGCTGGCAGGAGATCTTCCACTGCCCCCTCACGTGGTACTTTAGCTGCGCGGAGGCGGGACCCCTCTACACGGTGCAGGGCAGCGGCGGGGGATGCAGCGTGTCCGGCCTGCAGTGGCAGGTAGCGCCAGACGGAGAACTCTG